AATGCACGTGCACTTCCCCCACGGGGTGGCGAGAGAAAAAACACAAAGAAACAAACTCACACACACACGCACAAACTAGTAAATACCTGGTGACTGGCTCTCGGAAAAGCCGTACAGTGTATTAGGAGCTAGAAAGATTTTAACTGCTGCCCTAATAATTTTAAAGGCGAGCTCAAAACATACAAAACCACTTATCTGCGCAGTCGATGAGGAGTGCTCAAAAAACACGTCTATTGACCGTGCCAGTCCGAACGCACCTATTGATTATATACAAGCTCCGCCATCTAGCGGACATTATAAGAACTGAACAAGAGGTGGCTATGACCTAGTACATAAATCGAGGACGCATGACCCACGGCTTAAGGAGCTCCGACATTCCAAGAAGTAAACGAGAGGTGGCTACCTACTACATACAAGAGGACGCACGACCCACAGCTCAAGGAGCATCGCCCCTAAAAGATGGCTATAGAGAACGACAAAAAGTCAGGAATAAACATAAAGAAACACAGAAAATCTCCCAGCATATCAAGGAGTGATGATTAGTGGCGCTAAGCGTCTGTCCGTCCATCCGTCCTTCTGTCTGTCCATCTGTCTGTCTGCCAGTCTGTTTGTTGAGCAGTCAGTCTGTCAGTCGGTCTGTCTTTCTGTCCGTCCATTCATCTGTATCGTCTGTATATCCGTCAGTCTGTTCGTCTGTCTGTCCTTCTTGCCACCCGTCCACCCACTGTCCGCCTGTCTGCCTGTGTGTCGGTGCTTCTGTCTGTCTGTCTGTCAGTCTGTCTGTCTATCCGTCCATCAGTAAGTCAGTCAGTCAGTCAGTCAGCCAGTGCTCTGATCTGAAACAAGACAGGCTAACAAATAATCAAGCAAGCAGTATAAAGCACTGACCACTATGAGTAAAACGTTAGGTACACGGACGCAGTGGCATACAGTACAAAGGCCATTTTAAATCCAGTGTGGTCAAAAAAAAGGGTACCAATTAAGTGCAACAGCGACCCCCACTAAAGATCCGAGTAAAGGGGAATATCTGGTCATAGCCCTGGCCATCGCAACATGTAAGACTAGCCCGGTCACCATAGTTATTGATTCGCAAGAAGGTTGCAGAAGGTACACGCATTTAATTATCGTAAAATAGATAAATGAACATGAAAATGCAGGTACGTGGGAATTGTACATGAACGGAACGACACATGTCCTAAAGAATTATAGACTATCCATGGAGTGAATTATGATGAATGGGGCATATCTTCCATGCGTCCACACGTCCGTGCGTCCTTGCGTCCGTTCGCCAAACGTTCGTTCTTACGTCTTTGTGTGCGTCTGTACGTCCGTGCAACCATCTGTCTGGCTGTCTGTCTGTCTGTCTGTCTGTCTGTCTGTGTGTCTGTCTGTGTGTCTGTCTGTGTGTCTGTCTGTCTGTCTGTCTGTCTGTCTGTCTGTCTGTCTGTCTGTCTGTCTGTCTGTCTGTCTGTCTGTCTGTCTGTCTGTCTGTCTGTCTGTCTGTCTGTCTGGTCATGCGTTCCTCCATCAGTCTAGTGAACACTCTGAGCCCCGCCACCTCGCTTTTTCTCATCATGCATTCATCACACACAAGTACCGCCATCCAGCGAACATTTCACCTACTAAACGAAAGGTGGCTACTACTACAAACACTTGACGTACAACTCACGGCGTAAGAAGCTTCACGCCTAAAAGGGCCTCCGATCTTGCTTCACTGTAAATGTCAGAAAGAAGCCTTCAGCTGGTCATACTATGTTTTGCCTTGCCTCAGACAGTGCCTCGTCTACATTGAATCAGCTGCACCTGGATGCCATTCGTAATATAGAGGAGGCACTGCGTGAGATATGAAGGCCATCGAGCAGTGTGATCACAAAACATAAGATTGTGCAGAACCCAGGGCTATTTCCATGTTGCAGCACCATATCGTCAGCAGGCTTCACGCCTAAAAGGGCCTCCGATCTTGCTTCGCTGTAAATGTCTGGAAAAACAATAGCCTTCAGCTGGTCATACTATGTTTTGCCTTGCCTCGAACAGTGCCTCGTCTACATTGAATCAGCTGCACCTGGATGCCATTCGTAATACAGAGCAGGCACTGCGTGAGATATGAAAGCCATCCAGCAGTGTCATCACGAAACATAAGATTGTGCAGAACCCAGGGCTATTTCCATGTTGCAGCCCCATATCGTCAGCAGAGGGCTTTTTCGTGCATAACATCGCATTTTCAGCACAACCAAAGCTTCGTGAATAGCGTCGCATTTACGGTGCAGCCAAAACATACATTAGGTTCTTTAGCGTCGCATTTTTGCAGCCCAAAAAACGCTACGGTCTTTAGTATTTCGCATCTATGTATTTTCTGCTAAAGCAACACTCAGCCTTATACTTACCTATAGATGTTACGCCTGAGGTAGGAATCATATTTGCTTTTAAATGCGAAGCATTTCTTAGCGAACTTCGGCGAGTTTGAGTCTATCTATCTATCTATCTATCTATCTATCTATATTTCTATCTATCTATCCATCTATCTATCTATCTCTCTGTCTATCTATCTATCTATCTATCTATCTATCTATTTATTTATCTATCTATCTATCTATCTATCTATCCGCTTAGGACTTGAACCGCATCCCGACTCCTTGGGATGCTGCTGCAGCGCGCGATCTAAGGGCAGCACTGATAATCGTCTTCTTCGTCAATCTTTTTTTAACAAACGGCTCCGCACGCGAAATTTCGCAAAAAGTTCAGTTCCAGTGAGTACACATGCTGACAGGCCGGTTTCATAGTAGCTCTACGCGGTAGTCTGCCCAGCTCCACTAATCTAAGAATCTGCAGTTTCTGGGGCTCGCTTGACCAGGGTAAACGGGGCGCCAACTTCTGGCTTTACGTTGTTCTCATTCCCGAAAGGCAACCCTTGAATCAATGTCCCAAGGAAAAGCATGGTGCGTCGGCTATCGATTCTTTTGCATTAAAGACTCTCTTGAACGCACTCTTCTGCTTGCGCTTGGAGGCATGTTGTAGCGGAAGTCTGTGACGCGGTCTGTAGAGTTTTGTGAACATTCTAGTTCTTCGGGAGCAAGCCATTCGTGTACCGCTCAACGGTGAAGGAAGAATTCATGTTCCCATGTTTGAAATAGACACATAGGTGCTCATTTTCATGTTTATTCATCTTTACTTTGGAAAAATCTAACACGCAGAGAGTTTCGTCTAGACGAGAGTTCACTCGTAGCGTGAACGTTTGATGCCGTTTATTTGCGGTTCTTTGCTGCAATAATTCCACAGCATTTCTCCAACTTGATGAAAATACGCTGGTGTCAAGATGTCATACCATTGTCGAGACTTTCGGTACTTTCAGTTATTTGACATGCAACTCTGGAGGTTGCATAGACTGCATTTCACAAATCAGTCACACTTTGTGTCCGCTTACGTGGTTGATAGTAGAGGGACGATGTCGAAGTCGGTAGCCTTCAAGTCGGTGTGCAGTTGGTTGAGGCGTTCGTTGAGAATGCAAACCTCCTCTTCCGTGACGCTTTCTTGAGTGAGCGTTGCTTCTCTCTCGTTGACAATGCGTGTTAATTTAGACCTTCTCAGATTTCCGCTCCAGTTGAGAGTTTCATGTTGCGTCTACGCGTTGAGCAGCTGCAAGTCCGTCGGTCGAATCCATAAGCGAGAAGACGATTACGTTGGGTTCATCGACGTGGTTCGCTGTTACTGGGTTTCGGCGCTACCTGTAGAAAATCGAGCCTCCGGTTACGTAGAAAAAGACTTTATTTGCAATAAACCACAACCTGATTTCGTGGGTTGCTCCTGCAGCGCGTGATCCAAAGGCCAACACTCTTGTTGTTTTCGTGCACGATCTTTTTCTAACATTTATAGTTAATTTTTGTAGTGTTCCTTCTACTCATCTGACAGTCTGCTTGTTAGTGACGTCATAAACGAAACGGAAACACGTTCTTATTGCAGATGTATACTACACGAAGCTCACTTCAATCACCACTGCTGCTGTGTTCACTTAGGAAGCACATTGTTTGAGTTGTGCCAGGTCTCATGCTTCAGGGGGAGCTGCTGGCCTTACTTAGGATAATATTCAAATTTGCTGCTATCGCCTTTATTGTTTGCAGGTGAGCTGCAGCTTCTTTTAGAGTGAAGCTTGAAGGAACAAGATGAAATGTAAGCGTAACGTTCACTAGTTCAAACGTGGACTTTTCACCACCAAAAAAACTGCATAAACTATTCAAACGTAGCCCTGAAAAAACGCAAGGAATAGCAATCCCATCCTCTAAGCACGGCCTTCGCATGATGCGTCGCAACTATGTGCTCCAAAAGCCTTCATACCATTCACAATACTCAACTGATACCAGCTAATTATTGCGGCAGAAAACAAGGTGACACATGAACTGAAAACACAGCTGTCGATTTCAGTCTCCACTTTGTCGGCGTTTTTTGCTCCTTGGCGCGAGTGCAATAGCGAGCATTCATGCATTCTGAGATAGTACACTGAGTAAACCATCGATGTGGTATCGAGAGAACCAGGGACCGTTATCGGCTTTAAGGCATCGAAGGACCGTTGACCAGCTGTAATGATGTCACTTCGTGTCGCATAATGACGCAGATTGTGGACCTTCTGGCGATTGAGAGGCCCAGCATGTGCGCTAAGTACTTGCCGTAACCACGTATGTAAGATTTGTATAAACCGTTCTTTATTTTTCGGTGAGTTCAAGCAGCATGATGAGCCAATGAGTTTGATGCGTTCTATAGTTTTCACTGGAAAGCATTTAATAAACACACCAGCTGCGACATAAAAAACGTGTTAGAGCTGCTATTATGCCATCGACCTCAAAAACGAAAGAAAAAGAAATCATGAAACGGCAGCTGATTTATTTCATATGGTAATATCACGTGGAGCAATGGTCAGATGCGAAGTAGTGCAGATGCTGCAGGGAGGTATATAGATTCATTGTGACTACTTCGAAGAGCAAATAAGCGAGACAGGACAGAGCGACACACAAAGTGCACATGTGTTTTATGTTAGTGGCACACCAGAGCAAGGGTAAAATTTTAAAACGGTCAGCAGCAACAAAATGTGACACAGATCCGTACATACAACGTTTTATATTTCATGAATTCTGCGTGCGGCTCGTGTGCGCTGTTTTCCGCTCACTTCTTGGCACCCTTAGCCTCAACTGCTAGCATAGGAATGTGCGCAAAGCCTAGTGCCCTGCTTTTGACAGTTCTGGCAGCATTACTTAGCTGCAGTGGCGCTTTTCTCGATAACAACCCTGCACTCGGAGACTACCAGGACGACAGCAAGGTAATTTCGTGTTAAATTCTTCTACCTTTACAAAAATGGGTGGTTTTATATACACATATGACTGATCCAAGTAAGAGATAATAGTTATATACAGTGAAAGCTGCTGGAGGTATTAGCCGCTTCCAATTCCACATATATATTTCGCAAAACAAAACTGTAGCAAACCCCACGCAATGGGGGAATCCATTTCACGTGAAGCAGTCCTCAAGAAGCTGCATTTTCCGTACTTTGAGCCAAGTCTAAAAGATGTATGGACGCCTGTGTGTAATTTGGGAACATTTAGGCATAATGTGGGCTGACTGGATGACTAGTCATGGTGACGACCTTGTCATTCAAAGGCTAGCTCATTGCTCGACGTATGCCGGTACCCTCTTCACAGCAGAGATGTCACTTCTTTCACAGTGTAGTGTAAGCTACTATGCTGCAATTCTGTTAGCGCGAGGAGCCCCTGCTGGACTATTGGCCTTGAAATATTGGAGTGGCGCCCTCTCGCCTGTGGCGTTAAGGCACGGATTCCGCTCTCGACCAGCACTGCAGCAGCCGCTGCTCCTGTACGCGGAACGCCTGCTTCAAGCGAGAACTTCCTCGAGCGAACAGCCTTGCGAGGGTCAACTAAGGCTTGACACGAATGTTTTTGAGAGCAATTATGAACTAGTAGTGGCTAAATCTACAGGGCCGAGAAATCTTCCCAGATGGCCTGATGAGAACGTGGATGTCACCGACCGCATCGCTGGTAGAAAGTCAAGCAAGGAGTGAGTGATCTCACTTATTTGCATTTCCCGCTGTACTATACTAATTAGTGTGCGTGTTTTCAATATTTTTGCAGTAAGGGTATCTTTCTAGAGCATATACAACTATGTATATAAACCTTCCGAAAGCATTGCGGTGTCTCACCGAAGGCGAGGTGGGGTACGATCGACGCAGGCCGTGCACGTTATAGACTACACGGTCGAGGTCGTTAAGGGAAACCGCATCACCGTCGGGCTCCGGTTCTGCCAACAAGTTAATTTGCGAAACGACTTCTCAACGTCTCCGCGACAATTCAGTTCGGGACGAATAATGATAATTTCGTTCCTTTGAATATAGATTGTCGCAACCCAATGTAATTTGTTGCCGTGGTGAGTGCTGTGCAATGGTTAAGTACTATTCTGTGTATCAGTGTAGTTCGACCACCTGTGAAAAGGGCGTTTGCGTTAAAAACTGTACTCAGGAGAAGGGCACGCCTGCCCTTCTCGTCAGAGTATTTTTAGGAGCAAAGCTCTTTAATGCGTGGGTCGTGCGTCTCCTGTATGTAGTAGCCACCTCTCGTTTTAGTCCTTGGTTTGTCTACTGGATGGCGGTACTTCTCTATGATGAATGTATGATGAAACGTTACGAGATGGTGGTACTTGGAGTGTTCACTAGATGGAATAAATGACGGACGGACGGACGGACGGACGGACGGATGGACAGACGGACGGACGGACGGACAGACAGACAGACAGACAGACAGACAGACAGACAGACAGACAGACAGACAGACAGACAGACGGGTGGATGGACGAATGGACAGACGGACGGACATAGCGACAGATGGACAGACGAACGCAGCCAGCAGATGACGACGGTTTACCGATAAGACCCTTCGAAGCTTCGCCCCAGTCATCATTCGATCCGTGGATATGCTGTGAATTTTTGGTGCTGTGCATCACAAGGGACTGCGAACAAGGCGATATGTGTGATAATCACTGCCCAATTTTGCAACTGTTGCAGTGGCAAACAACACTCGAGATAATTGCTACAGGACAGCTGTTTAAATGACTGCTTTGACAGTAAATTATTTCTTCATGACATTTACTACAAACGCAAAGTAGCATCAAATGGCAAATTAAAGATATTAGTGCTAGTATTGCCGTCATGAACATCGGAAAAGTTTTGTCTTAATTGAGGGTGCAAGTTGATTTTCTATCGCAATAGTGGGGTCTTAAGGGCAGATGCTTGTGTGGCCAGGGGAGGGGGCAAACGCCACGTTCTTGCACACCCTTTTCGGTGCAAATGACCCTAGTAAGTCCCGGTAATGTTGCTTCAGTGTGAACGATGTCACGAAAAATGTCGTATAAATACCACACGGGGTCATCGCTTGGACACAAAAATATATGAAACAGTTATCGTTTATCAAATACCAGGCACTGGGCCACAAAAATTACAATGGCAAAGGCAAGCTGGGTCAAGTTTTTGTTCACGTGCGTGGCATAATGAAAAGCTTAAAGAGCTCGGCTTCTATAAAATTCATGTGCACTAAAGAGTGTCAGCAGGTTTCGCTCACAAATTTGTGATAACTAGGCGTGCTCGTCTTCGTGAGCAAACTACGCGGGAACGCACACAGCCAAATGAAGCCATAGTTTCACATATCCACAGCACCGCTCTACTGCGCTCGCGAGACGCGCTTCCCAGCGGGACGATTCTGAGGCCGCGTCGTTGGCTCTCTGTCTGGGGGACTTCGCGGCACGTTTTGTATTGAAACTGCACACGATATAATTCGCCTATGCCTATAGCCCGAGTTCAACTAATTGATAAAGAACTGGTGAGGTACTCAAACATGATTAAATGCTTACTGAAGAGCGGACCGTACGGCGGGTGTAGAAGTTAGTGTCAGTGAAGTTTCTGCACATGGATGATGAAGTCGTCGGGCACTTTCTCATTCTGAGCTCGACTATCATCTTTCTCTTCAGCTTTGTGCCTTTAGGATACTTGTGGGAGCAAACGCCCTTTTCACGGGCGTCGAAGTAAACAGAAACACAGAGCAGTACTTCACCATTGCGCAGTTGTATTGCGCCACGGAGACAAGTGGTCACCGTTCTAGGAACCAAAGCGCTGTGCTTCTGAATTTAATGTGAAAAGCATAGACCCATGGTTGTCTGAATAGCGTCGGTAGCCACCATGTGGGAGGTGACCAACTGAACTGCTTTTTAGTGGAGGTTTATACCCTGACGATGGTTTTTACATGAACTGAGTCGACGAGCGTGTCCGAAGGACGCGAATCCTCATACTAACGTCATACTGTCGTCACTTCCAGCAGCACCATCCGTCAGCCACCAGGCCAATAACGTGCTAAGTCGACTGTTAGTTAAACAATTAAGGTCGATCCCTTCACAAGGGCGGAAGATAAGGCTGAAATCAGTGGACGAGGCTGAATTGCGCGTCGTCTGCATTTCTAAATGATTACAGTAAACAGTAAGCAATTCACGTGAACACTTCACGTCGATGCACTGAGCTGTAACACCCAGTAATGGCGAAGTACAAATTTGAACTCCTGATGTGCGCCACAGCTGGACCAGATCTCCATCTCAATATCAAGGTCAAAGGGTTCTCGGTCGAAATTAGTCGCACTTGCGTCTTAATCTTTGGAGGTTTAAAGGCTGTTTCACATGCCGCGATTGCAGCGAGAAAAAAAAAGCGTTCCGTTCGCTCCAGTCGCTCTGTTCGGGACCGTCACCAGTGGCGGTTTCGTTTCACACGGACTGCGAACGGCCCGCGATTTTCGCTCTGCGACAGGAGTGGTCAGTTCTTGCCACCGCTCATTAGTGACAGACACGAATGTAATGTAATAATATGTGCATTATGATATCATGAAGTTACCGCGAACGGTGACGAAAGGTTTGCTTGTTTCGACATTTAGGAACACTTTCCAGTTTCAATTCATCTTAAAAGGCACAGCATCGTAGAAGTGTGGCAGCTTGGGATAGTAGGCATGGCATGACGATAGCTATAGCGCGAAAACAAAACGATGACATAGAGACAAGAAGGACATGACACGAGGGTGTCCTTCGTGTCCTTCTTGTCTCTGTGTCATCGTTTTGTTCTCGCGCTATAACTATCGGCACAGAATTGGCCATTACCAAAACAAACACGTCAGCTCTATTTCGACGGCTTGGCCCGAACAGCCCTGTTTCGACGGGTCTCGACCTAAAATTTCTCCCTCCACTGCGATCAGAGCGAAAATTTCCAACATGTTAGAAGCTCGCCGCGTACTGCTGCGGTAGGAGCAAACTGTCCTTTTTTTTTTCGCTGCGAGTGCATTCGCAGCCTGGAAATCACTACTTTTTGTGTCATGTGAAACGGCCTTTAGGCGGGTGCGTGTTAGCGACGCTTTGATACAAAATTACAATACATGGCACGTGCAGTTTGCTATTTTTCTAATATCTTACTTTGTCCGGATACTATCCTCTACAGCATATTCAGCCGAAACGAGATATGCGGAAAATGTGAACACTGGCTTTTCTGATTGAATATACTTCGAAAATAAAGCACATTTTGATCGTATTCGAACTTTTCACTCTTTTGACAACCTCAGAAATATTGTCATGTAGCATGTTCCTGAGCATAAAATAAGAAAATATCTGTCCTGAAAGCTCCCCGTCAGTCTATCTATATGAAGGGCTACATTTTACTTATAATTTTTATAACACATCATAAATATATGCATGGTATAGTGCATATTTGTATCGATTTTACAAGTACTAACTGGTACAGTGTTCCAAGTTCAATAAAGTTTTATTTAGAGCCGTAACAGTTGGAATAAAAAAGTCTGTATTAGGTAACATTTCTCAGGTGTTCTTCTTTAACGAAGTTGTTTTTTTCTGTGGTTATTACTTAAAATATGGACTTTTTTTCTGGCATTACGATTTTCAGTGGGAGGACGCGAAGGTGTATATGTCTTGCGAGTTTACAGTTACATATTTCGCGGGGCATGCTGCAATGAACGCAAAACACCTGAGGTCGTGAGAGACATAGATCCTCTGCGCGAACTGTTTTTAACAGTATTTGTTGCAATACTTCTTATTTTTCTCTTGTGTTCTGCATTACGTAAAACACCACCAGAAGTTTTGTCCACGTTGTTCACGGTGCTGTTGCTGCTCAAAAGGGCTCGTGACAATGGCCTCATGAGTCACCATAGGTTGTCCCACTCAAGTTGACCGGCAAGCAAGCTTCATGATATATCATGATGAAAAGCTGACCCA